CCAGGGCACTGCTACCTGGGGAGGAGGTGGTGGCTTCTCACTTGGCTGGAGAGCCATCGGGCTGGGCTGGATCACGAAGAACATCAACGGCTGGCCCACACAGACCCCAGAGGCAGTCCCGGGCACCCAGAAGGTGGGGGCGCCCAAAGGAGCGGCTGCAGCCAAGGGTGGCATGCTCTCCTGTGTCTGAGAGGGGCCAAGGGGAGGAGAGGTGCTGTGGACAGCGGGTGGGGCCCTTCGGTCCTCTGGAGCAGGAGCGGTCGTGGCCGATGCGCCGCCTGGTCCTCGGGCCCGGACATTGCCAGGCCCCCTTGCGCTCTGCTGGGGGTGCCGAGCTCTTCGGTTTTGAAACCATATCTAGGGGAGCAAAAGGCAGACAGGCACATCAGAAGCCGTGACCGTCCAGATCAACGTGCTGGCGCCTCCGCGGCACCCATTTGTCACCCCGCCTGGCGGCCCGTCCTCTGATCTGGCAGGCCCAGGGCGAGTTCTGCAGGGCCATTTTCTGCAAACGAATCCCTGGGCCCTGGGAGATGAGGAGCGCCTGCACGGCAACAAGTGGCACAAAACCCACCACTCAGCCCACCAACTTTCGGCCCCCTCCCCCCAGCCCAAGCCCCGGCCCAAGCCGACGTGTATCCAGCTCCAAACGCTTGGCAGGGCTGAACGCGCCCGTCTCCTGGGCCACGGCCTGGGCCCATGCGCTGGCTGGAGAACTTACCTGGATTCGAGGTTCTGGGATTCCCGTCTGACGAGCCAGTTCTTCCCTGGCGGCAATCCCTGGAAAGCGATCCCTCGTGAAGGCTTGCACAAGGATCCTTGTTTGAGAAGGAGAGATGGCTGTCCTCTTTCTCCTGGCCTCTCTGGCCGAGTCTTCTACCAAGGAAAGAACACACCGAGAGGAGAGGACTTTAAGGCCCATGGAACCTTGACAGCACAGATACCCTAGACGGTGTGCAGGGGCTGGAGAGTCCCACACACCTGAATCACTTCAGGTGGCTCTGAAGCCGGGGCAGGGTTCTACGGAATACACCCACAGATGGATCTCGTGCCTGGATCCATGGTGCAGGTGTGCGTGCACACATGCACACTCGGCACACATGCATGCCCCTGTGTGTCTCTTTGTTCCTCCGGACTTGCCGCGGAGTGCCCTGAAGCCTGCTCCTTGGCCAAGGTTGCCTGGGCAGCCGGAGGCTAAAGTTCCCGACGGGGACTCGGGAGGGGGTGCAAAGGGGGAACAGTGCTGCCCGTCCACGCCGCCTGGGGGCATGGTGGCCCTATCTGGGTCACTGATGGGGGACGCAACCAGATGGCCCTGTTTCCTCCCTGCTTGGTGTTTCTGAGCCTCCGGTGGTCATCCACCAGCAGAGAGAATTCTCTGTCAAGAGGGGGAGGATTCGGGACCCCCCTCTGGGGGTCTTGCCTTTGCAGAACGCTGGGTAACTTACCTTGAGTGGAAGACTGAGGTCGACGAGGTGTCGACGGTGGCCTGGCCGTGGACCCTGGCGCCCCTTCCCCGTCTTGGCGCATATTTGCAGACGGCGATCGGCTCTGCTTTAACCGTCTTCTTCGTTGGTTCTGAAACCAGACCTAGGGGCAAACAGAGAGAATACGTTCTCAAGAGAAAGGCCTCCGGGTGCTTTCTGCTGACGCGGATCGGCACGGGGAGCCTGAGAGGGAGAACGGGTGGAGAGAGGGGGCCCTACCTGAACTCTGCTTTCGGCAATGCCAAGCTCTCGGGCCAGTCGTTCTCTGGTCGCTATCCCAGGGTAGGGGTTCTGTTGAAAGAGCGCTTGCAGGGTGTCCTTCTGGCTCAGCTTCAGAACGAGCCTCCTCCTTCGAGATCCTCTGGCGATGGGGCCTGTGGAAGAGACGAAAGGGAAAAGTCTCAGAGGACGTGGGGTTTGGAGAGGACTCGACGGAAGTGCCCAAGCATGCTCCCCACCCAGGGCAGTTGCCCCTGTGCCTCAGCAAAGCCGGGAGCCCGGGGACGCCTCTGCATTTGGAAGTCACTTGACTACACCCCGAGTGACAGGCCGAGAGTCAAGGGCAGTGGGGAAATCCCCCAACCCCCGACCCACGCTGGAGTCCGAGGAACACCAGCAAGCAGAAAGGAAGCCAAACCCGCCCCTGAAACAAAGCTGGCAAGAAATCCCACCCACCAAAGACCAGCACACCATGCAGCCTGTCTGCAGAGACATTTTTCCACCTGCCTCAGCAGATGCCTGGGAAATGTCTTGATGGGGCCTCTCCCAAAATTCCCTCCATCACAATGCCAATGGAGGGGAACCTGGCTTCTCGGGGCTAAGAGGAGCCCAGGCCATATTTGCCGTCACTAGGGGAACAGGAAAGGAAGAGGGAAGGAAGCCAAAGCGAAGCCCAACATGCAACGCCTGACGGAAGACAGAAGGCACTAGGCCATTGTGGACAGAAAGCCACTGAAGTTGGCAAAGCCACAGAGCTCCCCGACGTCCATTTCCATGGCAAGATGAGGAAATAGGGCCCCATGCCAGTTCCCCTACCGGCCCCCCTAACACACAACCAACACCATCATCACAGAAAAGAGAAAGGAGAAGCCATGTGTGTGCCAAAGGAGCCAAACGACCAAACGGTGCCTCTCTGGGCACACCTGACGCCTGGAAACCAGGGGCCCAGCCGATCGGTCCCTGGCTTTCTTGGCGGTCAGTCGACACGTTTGCAGTGAACCCTTGGCCGGGCTATCCACAGACCCACCCCCCACCCCCACCCCGAGACCTGATCCGACCCCAGGGAGCGAGGGCAAACGTACCGCCTGAGGTGCTGGAGGAGCTGGACGAAGCCATGGTGGGAGAGCCACAGGGACGCTGCAGACTGCCTTCTCAGTGGGCCAGGACCCAGCTGCTCGGGACTTTGGATAGGGTGAGGCAGCTCCGCCCCTATTGACGTCAATCGTGGTGGGTGCTTAGTCAGAGGGGACGCCCCTGGCCGCCAAGCAGAGACCCTGGAAAGAATCCCGTGGAGCCAGTGGGCTTTCACGGGCACGGCCCGTGACCCAGACTCCCAAGGTCCACGTTGGCCTGGGGGCGGTGGGCGTTGGGGGTTTTGGTGTGTGGCCCTGCCACGCAGCAGCTGGAATCAACCCCAGGCTCGGGGGCCCTCCGCAGTGCACAGAGTCCTAACTGCACGGGAATTCCCCTAGGTCCCTTTGAAGTTGCCGCCCACGCCCCCTTTCCCAGCCTGCCTTGCCTTCCGAAACGCCCTGGCTTTTCCCGCCTTTTCACATTCCACATATACGTTGGACTCAATGGCCTCCGCCGGCTCCTCCGGAGCATTCCCGGACACTGGACGCTCTCTCCAGTGCCTCCTCCTAGCTGCCTTAAATCCTTGCCTCCCTTTTCCACATTCCTCCCCACCTCCTCGGTGCCCCCCTGGCATCCTTTCCCGACAGCAGTCCCAGTCCACCGCCCTGCCCACAGACACCCCACGCCCACCCCCACCAAATACACCCAAGTCTTTGACTTGCCAGAAACCCAAGTCTACTGCGAGAGAAGTGATGGGCCAGTGTCTCGAATGGTAACTCACACCGTTTGGGGCTTTTTCAGGTGCACCCTGATGCTTGCACCTCCCCAGCCCACCCCCTACTCAAAGTGCCCTGGGGAGACCTCGGAAACGGGACACTGTACCCACTACTCTTAGGAAGGTGGTTCCACTAAGCCAAGGAAGGAAGCATGCACGTTCTGGACGGAGAGGCGCCCTGACCTGTGCCAACAACTGGACGTGGAAATAGTGTGTGCTTTCTTAAAGAAACGGAGGGCAGAGAGGAGAAGGAGGAGGGAATCAGGAGGCAGGAGCAGACACAGGAGGGAGGAGGTTGCATGAGGCCACACGGGGGATGGCTCTGAACAGGTTCCAATGAATTGAAAAGAAATGAACGAACCACAACACCACACCCACAGCCATCTTTCCCAATGGATTCTTTGGCCACGCAGGTCTCTAAAGCCAACCACGGGGGCTTCACATGGGAACAGTCAGGGGGTTGTATGTACATCGAATCCACCGTGTCTATGAATTCAGGAACGGGTTTGCAAGGAAATCATGCCTGTATGTCTGCGGGTGATGCGGGGATGCTGGTGGCAGGGCGAGCTGAGTCACTACACCGTGAGGATCAGAGAGACACACGGAGATGATTGGCCTTTGCAGCTCTACCAGGCATGTGTGTTGACATGGAGTCTGGTCGTGAAAGCGGTTGTGTGGGTAGGTCCCTACTGCTGGCTCAGAGGATCTGACCTCGGGAAACCCGCCCAGACCAGGCACCCCGAAACCGAGGGAAGCATGTCCCTGACGGAGTATTTTAGGGATACCTGCAGGGATGGCCAGTGGCTAGAAGCTGAGTCCCAGACGGGGGCCCCGCCCCCCTCCCCCAAACGCCCTCTCCCTCCCTCCGTCCCCAAATCTCTCTGTCTCCTTCTCTTCTCTTCCTCCCTCCCTCTCCCACTGAGCCTTCCCCAAGCCTCTCCCTTCTCCCCCACCCTCTCCCTCCATCCACTCGCCCCCTCCCACCTTGCGTTTCCCAGCCTTCTACCTTCCCACTGCTCTATCTCCCACTCCCACTCGCTCGGCTGCCCCTGGCCTAGGGAAGGAGTGCTCCTGTGTGGACTGCTGGAAAGACGCAACCAGAACACAGATGAGTCAGACCAAAAGAACCTGTGCAGAGCACAGGGTTTCTTTATTGGCTCCACAGCATGTCCGTTCTTAGCCACCGTCTTGGTCACTGGAATCCTGCGATTCCTTGAGGCTTCAGGTGGTCTGTGCCTCTTGGAGGGGGCCCATGCTTCCCAAAGGTCCAGCTCTAGTGTATGTCCCCAAAGTTGCTGGTAGTCATCCCGTCTGTTTGCTCCCCACCGCCCCCCCCTCCCCCACCTAAAATCTTCCCTACTCCACGACCTCCGTGGCTTGGCCTCTGAAGCAAGGAGACCTGAAAGGGGCTCAGGGGAGATGGTGCCCCTTTCCTTCTTCTCCCTCTAAGCCCGAGGGCCTGGGGAGCCTGGCAGCATGTCCAGGAGTGCCTGGTAATCCTCCTCTCTGAGGGGTGCCTCCAGGATTGCCTCAACTCCTTCTTCGTCCGCAGCGGCCCGCGGTGAAGACCAGGGCGTGTCCTGGATGGACGAGGCAGCCATGATTTCCTCTAGGAGGCTGGGAGACCCGGGGAGGGCTGGATGGTACCCTGGGATGACAGGAGAGGACCCCAGGGAAGGACCCGGCGAGCCCGGGATGCATGTGACGGCCAGGAGCTCATCTTGGAGGCTGGGTGAGCCTGGGAGGGCGAGGTGTGCTCCTGCATCTGCATAGGGCCCCAGGGAAGGCGCCTGCGAGGCCGCAATATCCGTGGCCTCCAAGAGCTGGCCTAGAAAGCTGGGTGTGCCTGGCAGGGCAGGGTGTGCTCCTGCATCTGCAGCGGCCCCCGGGGAAGGCGCCTGCGAGGACCCGAGGCCCGTGGCCTCCAAGAGCTCGTCTAGGAAGCTGGGTGGGTCTGGCAGGGCAGGGTGCACTCCTGCATCTGCACCGGGCTCCGGGGAAGGCGCCTGAGAGTCCTCGATGCCCGTGGCATCCAAGAGCTCGTCTAGGAAGCTGGTTGCAACTGGCAGGGCAGGGTGCGCTCCTGCATCTGCAGCGGCCCCCGGGGAAGGTGCCTGCCAGTCTGCGATGCCCGTGGCTTCCAAGAGCTCGTCAAGGAAGCTGGGTGCGTCTGGCAGGGCAGGGTGCACTTCTGAATCTGCAGCAGCCCCCGGGGAAGGCGCCTGCGTGTCCGGGATGCCTGTGGCCTCCACGAACTCTTCTAGGATGCTGGCTGTGCCTGGGAGGGCAGGGTGTGCTCCTGCATCCGCAGCAGCCCCCGGGGAAGGCGCCTGCCAGTCTGTGATGCCCATGGCCTCCAAGAGCTCGTCTAGGAAGCTGGGTGCGTCTGGCAGGGCAGGGTGCACTCGTGCATCTGCAGCGGCCCCCGGGCAAGGCGCCTGCATGTCTGGGATGCCCGTGGCCTCCACGAACTCTTCTAGGATGCTGGGTTCGCCTGGGAGGGCAGGGTGCACTCGTGCATCTGCAGCGTCCCCCGCGGAAGGCGCCTGCGTTTCCAGGATGCCGGTGGCCGCCAAGAGCTCATCTAGGAGGCTTGTCGATCTTGGAAGGCTGGGCGGATGGGGCTGTGGCTCTAGCAGAGGGGCCGTGCCTTCAGCAACGGGTGACTCTGGCCTCCGCCTGATGTGTGTCTCAGGCTGTAGAGGCGGCAGGATGGCCCCTGGCCCAGGCTGCCAAGGGGCCGTGTCAGCAGGGGAGCACGCGGCCCAGGGCACTGCTACCTGGGGAGGAGGTGGTGGCTTCTCACTTGGCTGGAGAGCCATCGGGCTGGGCTGGATCACGAAGAACATCAACGGCTGGCCCACACAGACCCCAGAGGCAGTCCCGGGCACCCAGAAGGTGGGGGCGCCCAAAGGAGCGGCTGCAGCCAAGGGTGGCATGCTCTCCTGTGTCTGAGAGGGGCCAAGGGGAGGAGAGGTGCTGTGGACAGCGGGTGGGGCCCTTCGGTCCTCTGGAGCAGGAGCGGTCGTGGCCGATGCGCCGCCTGGTCCTCGGGCCCGGACATTGCCAGGCCCCCTTGCGCTCTGCTGGGGGTGCCGAGCTCTTCGGTTTTGAAACCATATCTAGGGGAGCAAAAGGCAGACAGGCACATCAGAAGCCGTGACCGTCCAGATCAACGTGCTGGCGCCTCCGCGGCACCCATTTGTCACCCCGCCTGGCGGCCCGTCCTCTGATCTGGCAGGCCCAGGGCGAGTTCTGCAGGGCCATTTTCTGCAAACGAATCCCTGGGCCCTGGGAGATGAGGAGCGCCTGCACGGCAACAAGCGGCACAAAACCCACCACTCAGCCCACCAACTTTCGGCCCCCTCCCCCCAGCCCAAGCCCCGGCCCAAGCCGACGTGTATCCAGCTCCAAACGCTTGGCAGGGCTTAACGCGCCTGTCTCCTGGGCCACGGCCTGGGCCCATGCGCTGGCTGGAGAACTTACCTGGATTCGAGGTTCTGGGATTCCCGTCTGACGAGCCAGTTCTTCCCTGGCGGCAATCCCTGGAAAGCGATCCCTCATGAAGGCTTGCACAAGGATCCTTGTTTGAGAAGGAGAGATGGCTGTCCTCTTTCTCCTGGCCTCTCTGGCCGAGTCTTCTACCAAGGAAAGAACACACCGAGAGGAGAGGACTTTAAGGCCCATGGAACCTTGACAGCACAGATACCCTAGACGGTGTGCAGGGGCTGGAGAGTCCCACACACCTGAATCACTTCAGGTGGCTCTGAAGCCGGGGCAGGGTTCTACGGAATACACCCACAGATGGATCTCGTGCCTGGATCCATGGTGCAGGTGTGCGTGCACACATGCACACTCGGCACACATGCATGCCCCTGTGTGTCTCTTTGTTCCTCCGGACTTGCCGCGGAGTGCCCTGAAGCCTGCTCCTTGGCCAAGGTTGCCTGGGCAGCCGGAGGCTAAAGTTCCCGACGGGGACTCGGGAGGGGGTGCAAAGGGGGAACAGTGCTGCCCGTCCACGCCGCCTGGGGGCATGGTGGCCCTATCTGGGTCACTGATGGGGGACGCAACCAGATGGCCCTGTTTCCTCCCTGCTTGGTGTTTCTGAGCCTCCGGTGGTCATCCACCAGCAGAGAGAATTCTCTGTCAAGAGGGGGAGGATTCGGGACCCCCCTCTGGGGGTCTTGCCTTTGCAGAACGCTGGGTAACTTACCTTGAGTGGAAGACTGAGGTCGACGAGGTGTCGACGGTGGCCTGGCCGTGGACCCTGGCGCCCCTTCCCCGTCTTGGCGCATATTTGCAGACGGCGATCGGCTCTGCTTTAACCGTCTTCTTCGTTGGTTCTGAAACCAGACCTAGGGGCAAACAGAGAGAATACGTTCTCAAGAGAAAGGCCTCCGGGTGCTTTCTGCTGACGCGGATCGGCACGGGGAGCCTGAGAGGGAGAACGGGTGGAGAGAGGGGGCCCTACCTGAACTCTGCTTTCGGCAATGCCAAGCTCTCGGGCCAGTCGTTCTCTGGTCGCTATCCCAGGGTAGGGGTTCTGTTGAAAGAGCGCTTGCAGGGTGTCCTTCTGGCTCAGCTTCAGAACGAGCCTCCTCCTTCGAGATCCTCTGGCGATGGGGCCTGTGGAAGAGACGAAAGGGAAAAGTCTCAGAGGACGTGGGGTTTGGAGAGGACTCGACGGAAGTGCCCAAGCATGCTCCCCACCCAGGGCAGTTGCCCCTGTGCCTCAGCAAAGCCGGGAGCCCGGGGACGCCTCTGCATTTGGAAGTCACTTGACTACACCCCGAGTGACAGGCCGAGAGTCAAGGGCAGTGGGGAAATCCCCCAACCCCCGACCCACGCTGGAGTCCGAGGAACACCAGCAAGCAGAAAGGAAGCCAAACCCGCCCCTGAAACAAAGCTGGCAAGAAATCCCACCCACCAAAGACCAGCACACCATGCAGCCTGTCTGCAGAGACATTTTTCCACCTGCCTCAGCAGATGCCTGGGAAATGTCTTGATGGGGCCTCTCCCAAAATTCCCTCCATCACAATGCCAATGGAGGGGAACCTGGCTTCTCGGGGCTAAGAGGAGCCCAGGCCATATTTGCCGTCACTAGGGGAACAGGAAAGGAAGAGGGAAGGAAGCCAAGGCGAAGCCCAACATGCAACGCCTGACGGAAGACAGAAGGCACTAGGCCATTGTGGACAGAAAGCCACTGAAGTTGGCAAAGCCACAGAGCTCCCCGACGTCCATTTCCATGGCAAGATGAGGAAATAGGGCCCCATGCCAGTTCCCCTACCGGCCCCCCTAACACACAACCAACACCATCATCACAGAAAAGAGAAAGGAGAAGCCATGTGTGTGCCAAAGGAGCCAAACGACCAAACGGTGCCTCTCTGGGCACACCTGACGCCTGGAAACCAGGGGCCCAGCCGATCGGTCCCTGGCTTTCTTGGCGGTCAGTCGACACGTTTGCAGTGAACCCTTGGCCGGGCTATCCACAGACCCACCCCCCACCCCCACCCCGAGACCTGATCCGACCCCAGGGAGCGAGGGCAAACGTACCGCCTGAGGTGTTGGAGGAGCTGGACGAAGCCATGGTGGGAGAGCCACAGGGACGCTGCAGACTGCCTTCTCAGTGGGCCAGGACCCAGCTGCTCGGGACTTTGGATAGGGTGAGGCAGCTCCGCCCCTATTCACGTCAATCGTGGTGGGTGCTTAGTCAGAGGGGACGCCCCTGGCCTCCAAGCAGAGACCCTGGAAAGAATCCCGTGGAGCCAGTGGGCTTTCACGGGCACGGCCCGTGACCCAGACTCCCAAGGTCCACGTTGGCCTGGGGGCGGTGGGCGTTGGGGGTTTTGGTGTGTGGCCCTGCCACGCAGCAGCTGGAATCAACCCCAGGCTCGGGGGCCCTCCGCAGTGCACAGAGTCCTAACTGCACGGGAATTCCCCTAGGTCCCTTTGAAGTTGCCGCCCACGCCCCCTTTCCCAGCCTGCCTTGCCTTCCGAAACGCCCTGGCTTTTCCCGCCTTTTCACATTCCACATATACGTTGGACTCAATGGCCTCCGCCGGCTCCTCCGGAGCATTCCCGGACACTGGACGCTCTCTCCAGTGCCTCCTCCTAGCTGCCTTAAATCCTTGCCTCCCTTTTCCACATTCCTCCCCACCTCCTCGGTGCCCCCCTGGCATCCTTTCCCGACAGCAGTCCCAGTCCACCGCCCTGCCCACACCCACCCCACGCCCACCCCCACCAAATACACCCAAGTCTTTGACTTGCCAGAAACCCAAGTCTACTGCGAGAGAAGTGATGGGCCAGTGTCTCGAATGGCAACTCACACCGTTTGGGGCTTTTTCAGGTGCACCCTGATGCTTGCACCTCCCCAGCCCACCCCCTACTCAAAGTGCCCTGGGGAGACCTCGGAAACGGGACACTGTACCCCCTACTCTTAGGAAGGTGGTTCCACTAAGCCAAGGAAGGAAGCATGCACGTTCTGGACGGAGAGGCGCCCTGACCTGTGCCAACAACTGGACGTGGAAATAGTGTGTGCTTTCTTAAAGAAACGGAGGGCAGAGAGGAGAAGGAGGAGGGAATCAGGAGGCAGGAGCAGACACAGGAGGGAGGAGGTTGCATGAGGCCACACGGGGGATGGCTCTGAACAGGTTCCAATGAATTGAAAAGAAATGAACGAACCACAACACCACACCCACAGCCATCTTTCCCAATGGATTCTTTGGCCACGCAGGTCTCTAAAGCCAACCACGGGGGCTTCACATGGGAACAGTCAGGGGGTTGTATGTAAATCGAATCCACCGTGTCTATGAATTCAGGAACGGGTTTGCAAGGAAATCATGCCTGTATGTCTGCGGGTGATGCGGGGATGCTGGTGGCAGGGCGAGCTGAGTCACTACACCGTGAGGATCAGAGAGACACACGGAGATGATTGGCCTTTGCAGCTCTACCAGGCATGTGTGTTGACATGGAGTCTGGTCGTGAAAGCGGTTGTGTGGGTAGGTCCCTACTGCTGGCTCAGAGGATCTGACCTCGGGAAACCCGCCCAGACCAGGCACCCCGAAACCGAGGGAAGCATGTCCCTGACGGAGTATTTTAGGGATACCTGCAGGGATGGCCAGTGGCTAGAAGCTGAGTCCCAGACGGGGGCCCCGCCCCCCTCCCCCAAACGCCCTCTCCCTCCCTCCGTCCCCAAATCTCTCTGTCTCCTTCTCTTCTCTTCCTCCCTCCCTCTCCCACTGAGCCTTCCCCAAGCCTCTCCCTTCTCCCCCACCCTCTCCCTCCATCCACTCACCCCCTCCCACCTTGCGTTTCCCAGCCTTCTACCTTCCCACTGCTCTATCTCCCACTCCCACTCGCTCGGCTGCCCCTGGCCTAGGGAAGGAGTGCTCCTGTGTGGACTGCTGGAAAGACACAACCAGAACACAGATGAGTCAGACCAAAAGAACCTGTGCAGAGCACAGGGTTTCTTTATTGGCTCCACAGCATGTCCGTTCTTAGCCACCGTCTTGGTCACTGGAATCCTGTGATTCCTTGAGGCTTCAGGTGGTCTGTGCCTCTTGGAGGGGGCCCATGCTTCCCAAAGGTCCAGCTCTAGTGTATGTCCCCAAAGTTGCTGGTAGTCATCCCGTCTGTTTGCTCCCCACCGCCCCCCCCCCTCCCCCACCTAAAATCTTCCCTACTCCACGACCTCCGTGGCTTGGCCTCTGAAGCAAGGAGACCTGAAAGGGGCTCAGGGGAGATGGTGCCCCTTTCCTTCTTCTCCCTCTAAGCCCGAGGGCCTGGGGAGCCTGGCAGCATGTCCAGGAGTGCCTGGTAATCCTCCTCTCTGAGGGGTGCCTCCAGGATTGCCTCAACTCCTTCTTCGTCCGCAGCGGCCCGCGGTGAAGACCAGGGCGTGTCCTGGATGGACGAGGCAGCCATGATTTCCTCTAGGAGGCTGGGAGACCCGGGGAGGGCTGGATGGTACCCTGGGATGACAGGAGAGGACCCCAGGGAAGGACCCGGCGAGCCCGGGATGCATGTGACGGCCAGGAGCTCATCTTGGAGGCTGGGTGAGCCTGGGAGGGCGAGGTGTGCTCCTGCATCTGCATAGGGCCCCAGGGAAGGCGCCTGCGAGGCCGCAATATCCGTGGCCTCCAAGAGCTGGCCTAGAAAGCTGGGTGTGCCTGGCAGGGCAGGGTGTGCTCCTGCATCTGCAGCGGCCCCCGGGGAAGGCGCCTGCGAGGACCCGAGGCCCGTGGCCTCCAAGAGCTCGTCTAGGAAGCTGGGTGGGTCTGGCAGGGCAGGGTGCACTCCTGCATCTGCACCGGGCTCCGGGGAAGGCGCCTGAGAGTCCTCGATGCCCGTGGCATCCAAGAGCTCGTCTAGGAAGCTGGTTGCAACTGGCAGGGCAGGGTGCGCTCCTGCATCTGCAGCGGCCCCCGGGGAAGGTGCCTGCCAGTCTGCGATGCCCGTGGCTTCCAAGAGCTCGTCAAGGAAGCTGGGTGCGTCTGGCAGGGCAGGGTGCACTTCTGAATCTGCAGCAGCCCCCGGGGAAGGCGCCTGCATGTCCGGGATGCCTGTGGCCTCCACGAACTCTTCTAGGATGCTGGCTGTCCCTGGGAGGGCAGGGTGTGCTCCTGCATCCGCAGCAGCCCCCGGGGAAGGCGCCTGCCAGTCTGTGATGCCCATGGCCTCCAAGAGCTCGTCTAGGAAGCTGGGTGCGTCTGGCAGGGCAGGGTGCACTCGTGCATCTGCAGCGGCCCCCGGGCAAGGCGCCTGCATGTCCGGGATGCCCGTGGCCTCCACGAACTCTTCTAGGATGCTGGGTTCGCCTGGGAGGGCAGGGTGCACTCGTGTATCTGCAGCGTCCCCCGCGGAAGGCGCCTGCGTTTCCAGGATGCCGGTGGCCGCCAAGAGCTCATCTAGGAGGCTTGTCGATCTTGGAAGGCTGGGCGGATGGGGCTGTGGCTCTAGCAGAGGGGCCGTGCCTTCAGCAACGGGTGACTCTGGCCTCCGCCTGATGTGTGTCTCAGGCTGTAGAGGCGGCAGGATGGCCCCTGGCCCAGGCTGCCAAGGGGCCGTGTCAGCAGGGGAGCACGCGGCCCAGGGCACTGCTACCTGGGGAGGAGGTGGTGGCTTCTCACTTGGCTGGAGAGCCATCGGGCTGGGCTGGATCACGAAGAACATCAACGGCTGCCCCACACAGACCCCAGAGGCAGTCCCGGGCACCCAGAAGGTGGGGGCGCCCAAAGGAGCGGCTGCAGCCAAGGGTGGCATGCTCTCCTGTGTCTGAGAGGGGCCAAGGGGAGGAGAGGTGCTGTGGACAGCGGGTGGGGCCCTTCGGTCCTCTGGAGCAGGAACGGTCGTGGCCGATGCGCCGCCTGGTCCTCGGGCCCGGACATTGCCAGGCCCCCTTGCGCTCTGCTGGGGGTGCCGAGCTCTTCGGTTTTGAAACCATATCTAGGGGAGCAAAAGGCAGACAGGCACATCAGAAGCCGTGACCGTCCAGATCAATGTGCTGGCGCCTCCGCGGCACCCATTTGTCACCCCGCCTGGCGGCCCGTCCTCTGATCTGGCAGGCCCAGGGCGAGTTCTGCAGGGCCATTTTCTGCAAACGAATCCCTGGGCCCTGGGAGATGAGGAGCGCCTGCACGGCAACAAGCGGCACAAAACCCACCACTCAGCCCACCAACTTTCGGCCCCCTCCCCCCAGCCCAAGCCCCGGCCCAAGCCGACGTGTATCCAGCTCCAAACGCTTGGCAGGGCTGAACGCACCCGTCTCCTGGGCCACGGCCTGGGCCCATGCGCTGGCTGGAGAACTTACCTGGATTCGAGGTTCTGGGATTCCCGTCTGACGAGCCAGTTCTTCCCTGGCGGCAATCCCTGGAAAGCGATCCCTCGTGAAGGCTTGCACAAGGATCCTTGTTTGAGAAGGAGAGATGGCTGTCCTCTTTCTCCTGGCCTCTCTGGCCGAGTCTTCTACCAAGGAAAGAACACACCGAGAGGAGAGGACTTTAAGGCCCATGGAACCTTGACAGCACAGATACCCTAGACGGTGTGCAGGGGCTGGAGAGTCCCACACACCTGAATCACTTCAGGTGGCTCTGAAGCCGGGGCAGGGTTCTACGGAATACACCCACAGATGGATCTCGTGCCTGGATCCATGGTGCAGGTGTGCGTGCACACATGCACACTCGGCACACATGCATGCCCCTGTGTGTCTCTTTGTTCCTCCGGACTTGCCGCGGAGTGCCCTGAAGCCTGCTCCTTGGCCAAGGTTGCCTGGGCAGCCAGAGGCTAAAGTTCCCGACGGGGACTCGGGAGGGGGTGCAAAGGGGGAACAGTGCTGCCCGTCCACGCCGCCTGGGGGCATGGTGGCCCTATCTGGATCACTGATGGGGGACGCAACCAGATGGCCCTGTTTCCTCCCTGCTTGGTGTTTCTGAGCCTCCGGTGGTCATCCACCAGCAGAGAGAATTCTCTGTCAAGAGGGGGAGGATTCGGGACCCCCCTCTGGGGGTCTTGCCTTTGCAGAACGCTGGGTAACTTACCTTGAGTGGAAGACTGAGGTCGACGAGGTGTCGACGGTGGCCTGGCCGTGGACCCTGGCGCCCCTTCCCCGTCTTGGCGCATATTTGCAGACGGCGATCGGCTCTGCTTTAACCGTCTTCTTCGTTGGTTCTGAAACCAGACCTAGGGGCAAACAGAGAGAATACGTTCTCAAGAGAAAGGCCTCCGGGTGCTTTCTGCTGACGCGGATCGGCACGGGGAGCCTGAGAGGGAGAACGGGTGGAGAGAGGGGGCCCTACCTGAACTCTGCTTTCGGCAATGCCAAGCTCTCGGGCCAGTCGTTCTCTGGTCGCTATCCCAGGGTAGGGGTTCTGTTGAAAGAGCGCTTGCAGGGTGTCCTTCTGGCTCAGCTTCAGAACGAGCCTCCTCCTTCGAGATCCTCTGGCGATGGGGCCTGTGGAAGAGACGAAAGGGAAAAGTCTCAGAGGACGTGGGGTTTGGAGAGGACTCGACGGAAGTGCCCAAGCATGCTCCCCACCCAGGGCAGTTGCCCCTGTGCCTCAGCAAAGCCGGGAGCCCGGGGACGCCTCTGCATTTGGAAGTCACTTGACTACACCCCGAGTGACAGGCCGAGAGTCAAGGGCAGTGGGGAAATCCCCCAACCCCCGACCCACGCTGGAGTCCGAGGAACACCAGCAAGCAGAAAGGAAGCCAAACCCGCCCCTGAAACAAAGCTGGCAAGAAATCCCACCCACCAAAGACCAGCACACCATGCAGCCTGTCTGCAGAGACATTTTTCCACCTGCCTCAGCAGATGCCTGGGAAATGTCTTGATGGGGCCTCTCCCAAAATTCCCTCCATCACAATGCCAATGGAGGGGAACCTGGCTTCTCGGGGCTAAGAGGAGCCCAGGCCATATTTGCCGTCACTAGGGGAACAGGAAAGGAAGAGGGAAGGAAGCCAAGGCGAAGCCCAACATGCAACGCCTGACGGAAGACAGAAGGCACTAGGCCATTGTGGACAGAAAGCCACTGAAGTTGGCAAAGCCACAGAGCTCCCCGACGTCCATTTCCATGGCAAGATGAGGAAATAGGGCCCCATGCCAGTTCCCCTACCGGCCCCCCTAACACACAACCAACACCATCATCACAGAAAAGAGAAAGGAGAAGCCATGTGTGTGCCAAAGGAGCCAAACGACCAAACGGTGCCTCTCTGGGCACACCTGACGCCTGGAAACCAGGGGCCCAGCCGATCGGTCCCTGGCTTTCTTGGCGGTCAGTCGACACGTTTGCAGTGAACCCTTGGCCGGGCTATCCACAGACCCACCCCCCACCCCCACCCCGAGACCTGATCCGACCCCAGGGAGCGAGGGCAAACGTACCGCCTGAGGTGCTGGAGGAGCTGGACGAAGCCATGGTGGGAGAGCCACAGGGACGCTGCAGACTGCCTTCTCAGTGGGCCAGGACCCAGCTGCTCGGGACTTTGGATAGGGTGAGGCAGCTCCGCCCCTATTCACGTCAATCGTGGTGGGTGCTTAGTCAGAGGGGACGCCCCTGGCCGCCAAGCAGAGACCCTGGAAAGAATCCCGTGGAGCCAGTGGGCTTTCACGGGCACGGCCCGTGACCCAGACTCCCAAGGTCCACGTTGGCCTGGGGGCGGTGGGCTTTGGGGGTTTTGGTGTGTGGCCCTGCCACGCAGCAGCTGGAATCAACCCCAGGCTCGGGGGCCCTCCGCAGTGCACAGAGTCCTAACTGCACGGGAATTCCCCTAGGTCCCTTTGAAGTTGCCGCCCACGCCCCCTTTCCCAGCCTGCCTTGCCTTCCGAAACGCCCTGGCTTTTCCCGCCTTTTCACATTCCACATATACGTTGGACTCAATGGCCTCCGCCGGCTCCTCCGGAGCATTCCCGGACACTGGACGCTCTCTCCAGTGCCTCCTCCTAGCTGCCTTAAATCCTTGCCTCCCTTTTCCACATTCCTCCCCACCTCCTCGGTGCCCCCCTGGCATCCTTTCCCGACAGCAGTCCCAGTCCACCGCCCTGCCCACACCCACCCCACGCCCACCCCCACCAAATACACCCAAGTCTTTGACTTGCCAGAAACCCAAGTCTACTGCGAGAGAAGTGATGGGCCAGTGTCTCGAATGGCAACTCACACCGTTTGGGGCTTTTTCAGGTGCACCCTGATGCTTGCACCTCCCCAGCCCACCCCCTACTCAAAGTGCCCTGGGGAGACCTCGGAAACGGGACACTGTACCCACTACTCTTAGGAAGGTGGTTCCACTAAGCCAAGGAAGGAAGCATGCACGTTCTGGACGGAGAGGCGCCCTGACCTGTGCCAACAACTGGACGTGGAAATAGTGTGTGCTTTCTTAAAGAAACGGAGGGCAGAGAGGAGAAGGAGGAGGGAATCAGGAGGCAGGAGCAGACACAGGAGGGAGGAGGTTGCATGAGGCCACACGGGGGATGGCTCTGAACAGGTTCCAATGAATTGAAAAGAAATGAACGAACCACAACACCACACCCACAGCCATCTTTCCCAATGGATTCTTTGGCCACGCAGGTCTCTAAAGCCAACCACGGGGGCTTCACATGGGAACAGTCAGGGGGTTGTATGTAAATCGAATCCACCGTGTCTATGAATTCAGGAACGGGTTTGCAAGGAAATCATGCCTGTATGTCTGCGGGTGATGCGGGGATGCTGGTGGCAGGGCGAGCTGAGTCACTACACCGTGAGGATCAGAGAGACACACGGAGATGATTGGCTTTTGCAGCTCTACCAGGCATGTGTGTTGACATGGAGTCTGGTCGTGAAAGCGGTTGTGTGGGTAGGTCCCTACTGCTGGCTCAGAGGATCTGACCTCGGGAAACCCGCCCAGACCAGGCACCCCGAAACCGAGGGAAGCATGTCCCTGACGGAGTATTTTAGGGATACCTGCAGGGATGGCCAGTGGCTAGAAGCTGAGTCCCAGACGGGGGCCCCGCCCCCCTCCCCCAAACGCCCTCTCCCTCCCTCCGTCCCCAAATCTCTCTGTCTCCTTCTCTTCTCTTCCTCCCTCCCTCTCCCACTGAGCCTTCCCCAAGCCTCTCCCTTCTCCCCCACCCTCTCCCTCCATCCACTCACCCCTCCCACCTTGCGTTTCCCAGCCTTCTACCTTCCCACTGCTCTATCTCCCACTCCCACTCGCTGGGCTGCCCCTGGCCTAGGGAAGGAGTGCTCCTGTGTGGACTGCTGGAAAGACGCAACCAGAACACAGATGAGTCAGACCAAAAGAACCTGTGCAGAGCACAGGGTTTCTTTATTGGCTCCACAGCATGTCCGTTCTTAGCCACCGTCTTGGTCACTGGAATCCTGTGATTCCTTGAGGCTTCAGGTGGTCTGTGCCTCTTGGAGGGGGCCCATGCTTCCCAAAGGTCCAGCTCTAGTGTATGTCCCCAAAGTTGCTGGTAGTCATCCCGTCTGTTTGCTCCCCACCGCCCCCCCCTCCCCCACCTAAAATCTTCCCTACTCCACGACCTCCGTGGCTTGGCCTCTGAAGCAAGGAGACCTGAAAGGGGCTCAGGGGAGATGGTGCCCCTTTCCTTCTTCTCCCTCTAAGCCCGAGGGCCTGGGGAGCCTGGCAGCATGTCCAGGAGTGCCTGGTAATCCTCCTCTCTGAGGGGTGCCTCCAGGATTGCCTCAACTCCTTCTTCGTCCGCAGCGGCCCGCGGTGAAGACCAGGGCGTGTCCTGGATGGACGAGGCAGCCATGATTTCCTCTAGGAGGCTGGGAGACCCGGGGAGGGCTGGATGGTACCCTGGGATGACAGGAGAGGACCCCAGGGAAGGACCCGGCGAGCCCGGGATGCATGTGACGGCCAGGAGCTCATCTTGGAGGCTGGGTGAGCCTGGGAGGGCGAGGTGTGCTCCTGCATCTGCATAGGGCCCCAGGGAAGGCGCCTGCGAGGCCGCAATATCCGTGGCCTCCAAGAGCTGGCCTAGAAAGCTGGGTGTGCCTGGCAGGGCAGGGTGTGCTCCTGCATCTGCAGCGGCCCCCGGGGAAGGCGCCTGCGAGGACCCGAGGCCCGTGGCCTCCAAGAGCTCGTCTAGGAAGCTGGGTGGGTCTGGCAGGGCAGGGTGCACTCCTGCATCTGCACCGGGCTCCGGGGAAGGCGCCTGAGAGTCCTCGATGCCCGTGGCATCCAAGAGCTCGTCTAGGAAGCTGGTTGCAACTGGCAGGGCAGGGTGCGCTCCTGCATCTGCAGCGGCCCCCGGGGAAGGTGCCTGCCAGTCTGCGATGCCCGTGGCTTCCAAGAGCTCGTCAAGGAAGCTGGGTGCGTCTGGCAGGGCAGGGTGCACTTCTGAATCTGCAGCAGCCCCCGGGGAAGGCGCCTGCGTGTCCGGGATGCCTGTGGCCTCCACGAACTCTTCTAGGATGCTGGCTGTGCCTGGGAGGGCAGGGTGTGCTCCTGCATCCGCAGCAGCCCCCGGGGAAGGCGCCTGCCAGTCTGTGATGCCCATGGCCTCCAAGAGCTCGTCTAGGAAGCTGGGTGCGTCTGGCAGGGCAGGGTGCACTCGTGCATCTGCAGCGGCCCCCGGGCAAGGCGCCTGCATGTCCGGGATGCCCGTGGCCTCCACGAACTCTTCTAGGATGCTGGGTTCGCCTGGGAGGGCAGGGTGCACTCGTGCATCTGCAGCGTCCCCCGCAGAAGGCGCCTGCGTTTCCAGGATGCCGGTGGCCGCCAAGAGCTCATCTAGGAGGCTTGTCGATCTTGGAAGGCTGGGCGGATGGGGCTGTGGCTCTAGCAGAGGGGCCGTGCCTTCAGCAACGGGTGACTCTGGCCTCCGCCTGATGTGTGTCTCAGGCTGTAGAGGCGGCAGGATGGCCCCTGGCCCAGGCTGCCAAGGGGCCGTGTCAGCAGGGGAGCACGCGGCCCAGGGCACTGCTACCTGGGGAGGAGGTGGTGGCTTCTCACTTGGCTGGAGAGCCATCGGGCTGGGCTGGATCACGAAGAACATCAACGGCTGGCCCACACAGACCCCAGAGGCAGTCCCGGGCACCCAGAAGGTGGGGGCGCCCAAAGGAGCGGCTGCAGCCAAGGGTGGCATGCTCTCCTGTGTCTGAGAGGGGCCAAGGGGAGGAGAGGTGCTGTGGACAGCGGGTGGGGCCCTTCGGTCCTCTGGAGCAGGAGCGGTCGTGGCCGATGCGCCGCCTGGTCCTCGGGCCCGGACATTGCCAGGCCCCCTTGCGCTCTGCTGGGGGTGCCGAGCTCTTCGGTTTTGAAACCATATCTAGGGGAGCAAAAGGCAGACAGGCACATCAGAAGCCGTGACCGTCCAGATCAACGTGCTGGCGCCTCCGCGGCACCCATTTGTCACCCCGCCTGGCGGCCCGTCCTCTGATCTGGCAGGCCCAGGGCGAGTTCTGCAGGGCCATTTTCTGCAAACGAATCCCTGGGCCCTGGGAGATGAGGAGCGCCTGCACGGCAACAAGCGGCACAAAACCCACCACTCAGCCCACCAACTTTCGGCCCCCTCCCCCCAGCCCAAGCCCCGGCCCAAGCCGACGTGTATCCAGCTCCAAACGCTTGGCAGGGCTGAACGCGCCCGTCTCCTGGGCCACGGCCTGGGCCCATGCGCTGGCTGGAGAACTTACCTGGATTCGAGGTTCTGGGATTCCCGTCTGACGAGCCAGTTCTTCCCTGGCGGCAATCCCTGGAAAGCGATCCCTCGTGAAGGCTTGCACAAGGATCCTTGTTTGAGAAGGAGAGATGGCTGTCCTCTTTCTCCTGGCCTCTCTGGCCGAGTCTTCTACCAAGGAAAGAACACACCGAGAGGAGAGGACTTTAAGGCCCATGGAACCTTGACAGCACAGATACCCTAGACGGTGTGCAGGGGCTGGAGAGTCCCACACACCTGAATCACTTCAGGTGGCTCTGAAGCCGGGGCAGGGTTCTACGGAATACACCCACAGATGGATCTCGTGCCTGGATCCATGGTGCAGGTGTGCGTGCACACATGCACACTCGGCACACATGCATGCCCCTGTGTGTCTCTTTGTTCCTCCGGACTTGCCGCGGAGTGCCCTGAAGCCTGCTCCTTGGCCAAGGTTGCCTGGGCAGCCGGAGGCTAAAGTTCCCGACGGGGACTCGGGAGGGGGTGCAAAGGGGGAACAGTGCTGCCCGTCCACGCCGCCTGGGGGCATGGTGGCCCTATCTGGGTCACTGATGGGGGACGCAACCAGATGGCCCTGTTTCCTCCCTGCTTGGTGTTTCTGAGCCTCCGGTGGTCATCCACCAGCAGAGAGAATTCTCTGTCAAGAGGGGGAGGATTCGGGACCCCCCTCTGGGGGTCTTGCCTTTGCAGAACGCTGGGTAACTTACCTTGAGTGGAAGACTGAGGTCGACGAGGTGTCGACGGTGGCCTGGCCGTGGACCC